AAAAAAAAAGTGGCTGTACTGAGTCAGAACAATTGGTGGTTCTGATTGTGATAGGATTTTGGCCAGCTGTTTGAGAACCTTTCTTCTTGTCCCAGGGCAGCTGAATTTCTTGAAGAACCATTGCTGATGAGGCTTTCTGAACACCTTGTAAATATTCCCATATATATTATATTTTCCATTTGTCCACTAGTTATTTTGTCTAATCTGCTTTGTAGGACCACAAACTTGTTGATCTGTGATTTTCTGGACCTCACTAAGACAGAAAAAATTCTTCCTCAGATGACAGTCCTCTGGGATTAGATCTAGTTTTAAGCACAAGGTTAAAAAGGTTGAGCACAGGGTTACACAGCACAATTCATATTAAGAGTACTACAAACTAGACAGTGAACAAAGTACTACATCTGAAAATATCTCCTTGATGTTTTTAACTGAGATGAAAGAAAGGTGTCCCTTCTCTGGAACTAGCTGTCCCAACTAAAGATTTTACTGCCTACCAAGTTGAGGCTTAGCTGGTGAAAAGGCTTTAAGTAGAGCTGTTGAATATATTACCAGAAAACTCAATTTGTGAGATGGGTTAGTGATCACAGTGAATAAGGCTACATTTTTTTTTGCCTACGGTTGTTTGGGGAACACTTGCACAGAAAGGTCAGCTGCTTGACCCAAAGGGCAATAACTCAATTGGTGGCAGCATGGGACGACTGGAACTGGTAAGGCTTGAAGGCAGCATGGGACGACTGGAACTGGTAAGGCTTGAAGGCAGCATAACTGGATGCAGAAGATGCTGTCTTATGGCTTGATTGTTCTAGTTATAATATGTAATGCCTATTTTTTGACTGTACTGTAACTTTCTCTATTTTCAGATGCCTTCAATGTCTGACAAAGAACCTTTCCAGGTATGCAGCAGATATTAAGCCATTGCCACCCAACATAAAGGATAAACTGATTAAATTAATGAGTAGGCAAGGGCAAATAACTGATTCAAATATCAGTCAGGTAAGAACCCATTCAAAACTGTTCTGTCTGTCATAGTTAATACACGAGGATGAACTAAACTAAAACTGCTTACATGAGACAACAGATAAATTCAGGCCTGCTTTCTCTGTCTGTGTCTTTACAATTTTTTTTTTCTTAAACTTCATAATGTTAGTAGTCCTGTATTAGTAATAATAAGATTATGTTTATAGTGACAAGTAAATTAAAAATGTTCTCCCTTCACTGATAATTGACTTCTGTGTAATCAGCTGACATATGTTATCCCTTTTCAGTATGGGGAAACTAGACTCTATTGCAAACTAGTCTCTGTTCCTGAGTGTAGTATGTTTCGAGAAGCTAGTGCATAATTTAATAATGAAAATATTTCAGGAACTTGTTAGGTTTCTGCTACGTTCTGTTGACATATTGCACATGATCTCCATATAATTTATTTAAGTCTTGATTCTTTGAAATATGATGATGCTAGGACTAGAAATTGATGGTTCAAATTCTCTCATCCCTTTTGCTCACTGATGTGTTTCAGTGTTCCAAAATGAAACCAGTTAACTGGTTGACTTTTTCTTTAGCTATAAATTCAGAGGCACGTCTATTTTGGTATCTGTCTGCTGTTATCTTGTTGAGCCTCAAAGGGAGGCATGAGAACTGAGGAAAGCTAAAGGTTGGCCTTGGTGAAACAGAAACCCAAGGACTCCCTGTTCAATCTAACTCAGAAGAGGCAAATAGTTTCTCAGAGTCTGAATAGTGAAGCCAAGATTAGAGGCAGAATCAGAAGTTCTGTGGAAAACTTATGAATAAAAAAAATATCTTTAGTATGCACTTTTTTTTGATTGTACAAAATAGGTCTCTGAGTAAAAATCAGTCTTATTCATTTATCTTATTTTGGAAACTGTGAGTTGACAAAATTTGTTTTAGGCTATCTTTTGAGTAAGTAATCCTTTCTAAGCATCCTAAGAGATGTGTATAATTAAAACGATATGATTGTGTGTGTATAAATGTACAAAACCTTTTAGGATATCTTTAGTCTGGAAAGAAACTAGAGTTTAAGTGACAGTCTTTTCCTCTGTCCCTTTGTAAAATCTCATCTGTCTTTGTCTTCATTCAGCAGTTAATCAGTGCCTTCTCTTGGAGCCTGTTTTCCGTCTGACACTGGGATATTCTGTTCTGGTTCTTTTTCTCATGTGTTTTTCCTTTCTCTGTTCCTGTGATTTCCTGCAGTTCTGTCCTTAGCTGTCATCACATTTCTTGGGCATGTTATGCGATGGCTTTCTTTGCTAACAATTTCCAGGTTTACCTCACTTGCATTTAAAAAAAAAATGCTGGCCACCTCTTGGATTCTGAATTCATACTGTTTCTCAATACCATTTTGCTCTTCAGTTTTCCTGTTCTTTCATCTTGAAGATATTCTTGTTGCTCAGCATAACAACAATTACTTATCTTGTTTAAGGTCTTCTTACTATTCCTTGCTCGTACCATGTATAACCAAAGTATTCTACACATGACACATTTGCAATGTCTCGATTAGTCTTCCATATGGATAAGGAGTCATTTTTGTTTGCTATTGCTTCTATCCTGCCCTTTCATAGTCTCCACAGTATAGCAGCTAGATCTGCTCTGTTGGAATTTTCCAGGCTATGCTATCTCATTTGCTTTTATGCATGTCCTTTCTTTGGTGTTGTTTAAGCATTTTGCTTAAAGTTAAATTTCTTCCAGTTGAAATTTTGTTAATCCGCACTTATGTATAAGCTTCTATTTCATCTCATACCTTCCTGTTCTTGCCTGGATTTGTGTTATCGTGTGTTTTTTTTCCTTACTCTGCTTTTTGCTTGGAGCAGCCTTCCATGACATGCATGCTTAACTCCTTATTCCAACTGACTTTTACCACAAAGATCTATAAAGCCATTCAGCATATGTCCACAGGATATAAATCTGTACTTTAATCTCCTGTACTCTGCATCCAATCGGTCCTTACTCTATGTAAAATTCCATCTTCTTTGAGACATTAGGTTTTATTGTATGCATTCAGTGAATATGAACTTGTGAATAACAATAGAAAGCAAACCTCTAAGCAGTACCTGAGCAGGTGAAGAATCATGCACTAGGGAAACTTAATACTCTAGCAGTACTTTAAATAGGCAGTACTCTGATAGTATTGTTGCTTCTCATTTAGACTTCCTTGCACCTAATGGTACTTTTTCTCATAAGATTTCTCATGTGGCTTCAAAACCAGCAGTTTGCTCACTTTTGTTATGTCCTAGGCAATTTGGAATTGTGAAAGAAAGCCAACAGTCAGGGAAAGCATCTTGAATAAATGTTGATGGTCACTTTGGCTTTGAGCACTCCATCTATTGGCTGTTTTAGTTCCTTAGATATGAATTCAGAAATATGAGTGAAATAAAAGCTGAATGGTATCTTGAGAAAACTGCTCACAAGTGTATTGTGGATATGTTGGTGGTTTTGTGGCACAAAGAGACATATTTGAGGCTTTTGGCATTTGAGGAGAAAAAGCTGTCAAAGGTCTGCCATTCATTTTGCAGAAAGTTTGCAATTACAATCTACTAGAAGTTTTTGCTTTTTTCAAAAGGCTTATTTGACTTAGTAAAGATTTAGCATCTTATATATTTGCAAACCAGAAAAACAGTATTCTTTGTAATATCTTTATTATACCTGCTAGAGAGGTGAACCTGAGAAAGGAATGGGCCTTTAACAAGCCTGTCAGCTATCCTGTTATCTTTGCTTGTGTGTGGTAACTTACCCTATGCTTTTATCCTTGTGAGTTAAGGAAGGGAGTGACAAGCTGAAGGAAGTAGTATAAGGTAGTGTGAAAACCTTATCTAATGCTTGCCTATTGGTCCGAAGAACAGCTCAGCAAAGGTGTAGACTGTTTACACAGGAGGGGGGCTATAAACAGTATTTATTAAAAAGTATTAAGAATCCTTGAGAATTAAATTAGGGGTAAGATATATGGCTGTTGTTACTAAAGCCTGAGGCCTTCCATTGCTTTGGATGTAAATTTCATAAATATCCTCTTGGGGAAGATTTCACAAAAAGCCCAACCTATGGTCTTGTGGGAGCAAAGGAGCTTTTTTAATGAGGATTTGGTACCTCCTCATGGTATGATAATGAGATTGCTTGTTTATGAGAAAAAGAGTATGTGTGTGTGTGTATGTGAGAAAAATGCTTTGGGGCAAAATATATTTCAAATATTACCCTTAACTGTTCAGCAGATTTAAATTTTGATCACAGACAGTGTTTTTTTTACACTTCAGATTTATGCCATAGTTGTGCTGGGATATTTGAGGGTATTATCCTTGGTAAATGTATCTGTGCTGGCAGAAGCACTAGTGTTAGCAACTGTACCATCAAAATAGTACTTCCACTGTTTAAATAGTAGTTTAAATAATAGTGTTAATGTGCTCCTACTCTGGATGTGATCACAGAAACTGAACATTCATGCTGAAGGAGATGAGCTGTTGCCACAAATATACTGAATTTTCTGTAGAGTTTTTAGTTCCTAGGATTGGTAACCCCATCTTCTAGTGAATATTTTCTTAAAGTTCTATGTGATGTCTAACATTACAAGTATTTTAGATAGAAATATGCATGTTCTATGACATAGCAGAGTTTGACTGAAATGGTATTTTTTTCGTTACAGGTGTTGCACCCTGCTGTAGAGTCTCTAGACCTCCGAGACTGTGATATTTCAGATAATGCATTATTGCAGCTTTATAACTGCAAGCAACTGAAAAAAATCAACTTAAATTCTTGCAAAGAAAACAGATTGGGAATCACTTCAGAAGGTATGCTATCTGTGCACAGATAACTGGGATCTGATTTCTGTTTTATTTTTCATGTTAGATTGGAGTAAATTGCAAAAAAAATATATTTGGTTTAAAAAATCCCCAATGCCACACCAGTACTAATTAAAGTCACTTCAGTGGTGTAAATTATAGGCCTAGAGAACTGATTATCTTACGAGAGAGAGCTATCAGGTTACTCTCATGCTAGGTTTCTGGTAAAACTATGCTACATTTGATCATATTTTCCACTTCATCTTAATTATTCCTTTCTCAAAACTTGTTCCAAGACCTTACCAGTATCACTAGGGTTGAAGTTTCAGGCTTGTGATATCCTAAATTGCTTTTTTATCCTTTTTTATCCTTTTAAAATTAAATGTATTTGTTATAAAATAAGCTTATATAATATTTTCTGACTTAAAAGACTTGACTTACTTTAGGACTTTAGGATTTCAGGTGTTACTTTTAACCTCCAGTTTCAAGTTGTATCAGGAGCTAGTAGCTTAAAAGAATTAAGCTTGCTGAGTTTTACTTGCCACAAGTTTTGTTTTGTGTTTTGATGACGCTCTTTTGCTCCATCATTAACTCATCCTTATTAAAACCAGGCTAAATATTAATTTAGTATTGAGCTAATGTATAGTGAACTTCATATCAGTCTTGGATTGTATTTTCTTACCACTGCATAGTGATACACTTATCTTTTTACTTAAGTAATTGGTTAAACTTTTAAAAATTGATTTTATTTTATTTATTTTCAGTGTCACCTTTTGACCCCTATGATATAGTTTACAATGGTCTTCCCTCCATGTCTGCATCTGTCCACTGATTTCCAGTATGGTTCTTAAGGTAGCAGTAAAGCTAGAGCTCTTTATGTATACTTTTAATCTATTTGGATAGAGATTCCTGATGACTTTGCAATTAAAACTGGGAATTCTAGTTCTTTATTTGCAAGTTCCTAGTCCATTCAACTTTACTAACTTTCCTATTTATAAACTGAGACCTTTTTAAACTGAGAGTCAGTTATGAAGCCTTTAATTTAAGCTGGAACAGTTCTTTATTACTCATCTCAATTACATACAGAAAAAAAAAAAACAACCCCAAACCACCCCATTTTAAGGCAGTGTTACCTTTTACTAAGTCAATAGCAGGTGGGGGTTTTTCGGTTGGTTTTTTTCTTTGGATGGATTTGCGGTTTTTTGGTTTGGTTTTTTGTGTGTGTTGTTTTTGTTTGGTTGTTTGTTTGTTTGTTTTTTTAAAAAGAAACTTGCTGGCTACCACATCCAGAAATATCATTACTTGGAAATATTTGGTTTGTACATTGCATGTGGAACATTTAGTGTCCCTTAATACAATATCCGGTAGTATTTACTTCTCTGTCAAAATCAACTACCACTACTGTCTCTTCTATCATTCTTTGCAAAGTGGTTCTGACCCAAGCAAGTACTATTTTGTCCGTGTTTCTTTGAAGTTCCTACATAGTAACGTATCTTAATAGCATTCAACTTTTCTATCTATCTGGAAGTTATGTAATTTCCTGTACCACTGTAATCATCATGTTTCCATCACAGAATCATAGAATGGTTAGGGTTAGAAGGGACCTTAGAGATCATCTAGTTCCGACCCCCCTGCCATGGGCAGGGATACCTCCCACTAGACCAGGTTGCTCAAAGCCTCATCCAGCCTGGCCTTGAACACCTCCAGGGATGGGGCATCCACGACTTTCCTGGCCAACCTGTTCCAGTGCCTCATCACCCTCATAGTAAAGAATTTCTTCCTAATATCTAGTCTAAATTTGCCCTCTTCCAGTTTAAAACCATTACCCCTCGTCCTGTTGCTACATGTCCTTGTAAAAAGCCCCTCCCCGTCTCTCCTGTAGGCCCCCTTCAGGTACTGGAAGGCTGCTGGAAGGTCTCCCCCGGAGCCTTCTGTTCTCCAGGCTAAACATCCCCAACTCTCTCAGCCTGTCCTCACAGGGGAGGTGTTCCAGCCCTCTGATCATCTTTGTGGCCCTCCTCTGGACCCATTCCAATAGCTCGACGTCCTTCTTGCATTGGGGAGCCCAGGTAGGGTCTCACAAGAGCAGCAGTTACACCTCTTAGTCATCACAGCACAATATGAATTTACGTACAAGCATACCGCAATACGTTGTTTTGTCTTAAGAAATAGTGCACACTGAGTAGTATATGACGTGCCTGAGCATGGCTACTCGTGAACTTTTTCAAATCACATTGAGAGGACATTGCTATTTCTGAGTCCTCTCTGTCTGTCTGCACTGGCAAGCCAGCCCTGAGTCCAAGTGAAAGAAGAGGGCCACAGAATGATTAGTGTTGCTAGAGATTCAAACTTTGACATTGCAGTCCAAAAGCAGCAGTGTCAGCCCAGTAATTGCTGCCAGTGCTCCAACTACCTGTAGGGATCACAAGCCTATCACTGGAGTGCAGCACTGAGGAGAGCGGGCAGTCTCCTCTTCCTGCCTTTCAAACCTGCCTGGGACTTCAGGTGAGGCTGGAGAAGGGCTCTCCCAGCGGCAGGGATGGTCATTGTGCCATCCTTCTAGCTCACGAACAGGAAAGTGACGCTGGAGATTTCAGTCTTGGTGGGGCGATTCCTCTGTTTCTTCTTCAGCTTTGGGGTTAGCCTGGCATTTGCAGCTGCGGGTACCAGTCCTGGAGCATCCTCTAGAAGTGCTGAGCCCTTTGTGAGGTGCATGGACACCCCTGCCCTGTCTGAAGTGCTTCTTCTGGGTGTAAGAGTGGGTGACAAAGCCAACTGGACAAGGCTCTTGGTCAGGCTGGCAAGACTCCCTAGAGCAGGAGCATGGCAGCCACTTGCTGCGAAGGAGATGGGCAAGTAGGAGCTTGTCCAGTTTCCAATGTTGCCTCCAGTGAAAAGAAGGTCCACAGAGGCAGGGTGAGTCAGCGTGCTAGAAACTTGGGAGAGCTGCAGTTGATGGGATGATCCTCTGGGCCTTCAACTCAAAAGAGCCCCAAAGAAGACATGCGAGGCAAAATAAGAAAATAAGAAAGGAAAAAAACCCGGTGAGACTGCTCTCATCATCAGCAAGCATTCAAAATCCTTGTGAGGTGCCAAAACAGCTGCCTGAAGTAGGTCCTCTCCCCCTCAGAACCCAATGGAGCCCTAAGCCAGCCTGGAAACTGATCTAGAACCATAAAGTGATCTGGAACAATAAAGTGGTCTAGAACCATAAAGTGAGTGAGAACACAGTCTAGAACCATGAAGCGATCTAGAACCTGATCTAGAACCATAAAGCTATCTAAGAACATAGTCTAGAACCATCACTTCTGCTAGGACCTGCCCTGGAACCAAGAAGTGGTCCTGAACGTGTTGATGTCAGGTAAACCATTCTTCTCTGGAATCTGTATCAGAACTGGCAAGATGTGACAAAAAGTCATCTAGAACAAAAAAAAAACAAGCTAGAAGGTGGTCTAGAATAATGATCTAGAACATAGTCTAGAACCTCGAAGCTATCTAGAACCTGATCTAGACCCATAAAGTGAGCTAGGACGTAGTCTAGAACCACCTCCCTGCCAAAACCCCAACCCCAGAATTCAGACCTGCTCTAACTGCACCAGCACCATCCCAGCTCTACAAACAACTGACTGTAAAGGACTCACTGCCTGTCAAAGGCCCTGATAAGGGAAGGCCCTTGGATGTCTCAAACATCTTGGTTGTGCAATAATCCTATTCCTTGCTGATAAGAAGAAGTGAAGAATGCACCAAAGGCTGTACTCCCCTCACTAACCAAGGACAAACTTTCACTTAACAAGGTCGTCACCCCCAGCTTGAAGGCACCAACAAAGAAAGTTCAGCCAAAGTTAATCCAATACAGGGTCTGCAGGACCTCCAACCCAAATTTAATCCTTGAAATAAGTTCCTTTTATTAATTGCATCTGTAGTTTTTGTACTTCTATGCAAATATTTTGGTTCTTACTAACTGTCAGGGCTCTGAGGGCACCAACAGACCCTAATGGCCACTACTGGGCTCGCCTGCCGTGCCCACCTATACCACCTGCCCGTGGATCTTCAGTCCTGGCCTGAGCTCTGTTAGTAGGTGTACCTGGTTCCTGTTCTGCTTCTGAAGTATTGTTTTGATTTCTTGAATTGACCTTGACATGACCTCTTACCTTGCTTTTTGCCTGATATTCATGGCACCATCAGTGGGACCTAGCACTATCTCATCAGTCTGCTTTCAAGCCATTGGCTTTTTTTCATGAGCTCACTGAGATGATACCTCATGTATAATATAATAACCCTCAGATATCCCTCAGCAGTATGAAAGGGAATTCAACATTTAGAAATTTTTATCAACTCTAGCATTGTTCATTGTAATTTTATTTTTCTCATCCTTGAATTAAAATAAACCAACCACAAAATTGTTTTGTTGTACAGAGTCTTGCTGGCATGGCATGAGATGAATTCAATGACCAGGGGACAGCATATTGGATTCAGTGTGGTGATTATGTTAAAAAATTAATGATTCTTTAAATTGTTCTGTTTCTTCGACAGGTGTCATTGCGCTGGCCTTATCCTGTCCTTACTTGCGTGAAGCGTCTTTTAAAAGGTGCTGTGATATAACTGACAGTGGAGTTCTTGCTCTTGCACTCAACTGCCAGTTCTTACAAGTAGTGAACTTGGGTAGCTGTTCAGGCATCATGGATGCATCTCTGCAGGCACTAGGAGAAAACTGCAAATTTCTTCACAGTGTGGACTTTTCATCTACTCAGGTAACTATGGTGGCTGTTGGCTAATTGACTTTTATTTGTTTATTTTTTAAGATTGTCATGATAAAATTGAAAGGAGATATTTTTAGCTCTGCTCTTGACAAGATTTAGGACCACAGTTCACTTCCAATTTCCTCCTCTCAAGGAAAAAGAAAAATATGTTTTGCATCTTGGTAACCAGAAAAAATGTACCTTTTGATACTAAAGCATGTATTGTGGACCAAAGATAAAATTTTATTAGAATCTATCTGATTTTATTTTTCAGTATCTTTATTTAGTGCAATAATTTTCTTCAAGTTGTAAAGTAATCCAAAATATTTATTTTAAAGAAAGTAGAATCTTGGACAGATTGTTGTCTGCTTTCAGTTAGGACAAACTGACCTGAATAATAATAATATGGGAGGTCAAACAATATAAGCCCCTAATAGATGTAAACACTCCATAATTAGTTCTAGTTCAAGAGTGACTGTGCTTTCTGAATGGCTCATTAGAGTCGTGTTACAGAGGCAACACAGAGAAAATGACGGGTAAAATGTTAGAAAGGGCAGGTAAAAGGATTTAACAACAGTTAGTATTTAGCATAAGAAGGGGGAAATCAGCTGCAACAGCAATACTGTAACATACTTCATAATTACAATAAGATAATGAAGTGAGTGAAAGGATTTTTTGCAGTAAATTGGGTTGACTGTGATGGTGAGTGATTGTGTTGAATATGTCAGGCAAGAGCATTCATAATGAAGTGTCAGCTCTAAATGTGCTGTCATCTTGATGACCTGCTAAGCTAGGTACTGACAATACCTGCCATTCTTATAGGCCTTTATGTGCCTACATGGTGTGACATTCTTGTCCATTCTCCATTCGCACTGATTTGACCCTTTCTGTTACAGTTCTGTACAGTAGACTTGCAAGAGGGCCAGAAGCTATAAGACAATTAGTGGAATGGGAATGTTATAGTTGAATTGAGACAAATTGAGTACAACATGGATTTATCGAATATAAATCCTTTATTAAGGTAGGAAAGCAAAAGCAGCGCTGGGCGGCCTGGGAGTCACAGCTCCACCAAGGCTTGTGAATTCAAGCAAGCTGAGCAACCCTTTTTATCCTTGTAGAGGTCGATTTCAATATCTTTGGTACGCCCCTCTACTTCTTCTGTGATCGTGGCTTTTTCCATCTTCTTGCTTCAGGCAGTTTCAATAAAAAGGTCAGCAATAAATTTGGCTTATGCAAACATTCTTCTTATACAGTTAATTGGATCAAGGTTTAAACAAAGGCACATATTGCTATGGTAACATAACATAGTGGTTTTACTGATTGCTTAAGATAACACATTTCTATAGTATTGTGGTTTAACTCTTATCTAAACAGGATGTCCCCATGTCTGGTACAGCGAGAATGTTTTTCTTGCTGCACTTGTCTGATCAGCAAATTGTCTCTGGTCACTTATTACAATTCCCCCCTTCTTTTATTTATAAGTAATTTGCTGATCAAACCTAGACAATACGTCGCAGGCCACTTCTAATTTAAGATTTTCGTCCAATATCGCTTTCATTTCCAGTTCTGACTGTTTTATCACCATTAGTTGTACTTTCTCCAACCTTCTTTTAACCAAAGTTACAAGCTTGTTAATGATACATGGTCCAAAAGTCAGAGCCAACAATAACATTATAAGGGGTCCTACTAGAGTAGAGATTAAAGTAGTTAGCCATGGTGACTGATTAAACCAAGACTCATACCAGGAGGACTGAGCCTCTCATTCTCGCTTTCTTTTCTCCAATCCTTCCCTCAATTTTGCTAATGAATCCCTTACCACCCCGGTATGGTCGGCATAAAAACAACACTCTTTGCCTAGGGCAGCACATAACCCTCCTTGTTGGTTACAAGAACAAAAGGTCCAATCCTCTTCGATTCTGCAAAACTACCTCTGATAATGAGGTCGTGATTTTTCTAAATAAGAAATAGATTTTTCTATGCGGGACAGATCCTCGTCTACTGCAGCTCTTAAGGATGTGAGACTCTGCTGTTGTTGCACCAAGGAGGTTATGCCAGTGGTGGTCCCAGCAACCCCTAATCCAAGTAGAGTAGCTATAGTGATTGCAGATATTGGTTTTCTTTTACTGATTTCATGCCTTAAATTGCTCCAATGCAAATACATAGTCTCCTCCTCATGTAGGAGGATTCTAGGTACTACAGTAACCTGTACACAAAATTCTGAGGCATTTTTCTTGAGAATAGCAGTGGACAAACATGGTGTCAGTCCAGTTATAGAACAAACCCACCATGCCCCAGGACTAGGTAAAACCCATTTAGTAGTAGATGTAAAGTTTTGAGTCTGGTTGGCGCATAGGGTTCTTCTCCCATTCGTTACCTTTCTTTTACACCAACCGCTCCCGCTCCCTCTGACCTGTTGGAGAGTAATTCCCACTTTTCGTTCTTTCCAATTACATCTAGAGGGATTATCCTCGGTAGAGGTATTAAAAGGAGATGGTACAGCTATCCCCTCATAAAAAGGGGGCTTTATATCGTAGCATAACCAACAAGAACTGGTAAAATTTGGATTTGTTGCGTTTAAAGCTTGATAGGCTGCCTGCATTACAGCCTATAAATGTTCATCATTTTTGGAGGCTTCGTCCACCTTTTCCGTAGGGGTTGAGTATGTCCGTTGGGAAACTGTGGAGTTCTCTGCCTTTGGCTTTTTCTTTTTACCCTTCTGCCCTTTAATAAATCGGTTGGGCCCTACTGCTTGTGATGTTTTTATTTCATGTTTTTGAATGAATATTAATCCCCCTCTATCGGTTCCAGGTTCCCAATATCTCATTCCCCAGGTGCGTCCTATTAACCATGAGGGGTCTTCGGGTTTTAGAACTGTTAAGTATATTTTGTCACATTTGCTGTGACCTATGCTTCCCCCTGAAATATCTACTTGAGGTGGTGTTCCGCAACCATCGGGACCCCATCGCAACCGTAAAAACTTATCTTGGGTGTTTGGTGCCCATGATGAGGCAAGGGTTTCACAGCCCCAATATGCGCAGTAATAGTGGTTTGGAAAATTACAATAACCTTTTCCTGGGTTAGAATTTGGGCAAAAATAATGGCTCTTCTGATTAAGGCACGGTTGTATAGGTACTAAATCACAGAGGTATGTTAGAAAACTTGGAGCACCTGCCGTAACATTAGACTGTAACACAACAGGACCTTCCCATCGACCTAAGGTCCAATTGAAGGGTTGGTGCTCACTTTCAGTGGTGATGCTAATCAGCATCATTACTAGAATACCAGCTTTCATTTTCCCCACCGTTCAATACCTCTCTGCCTCTCCTCATCTACTCTTTTGCAGAGAGCAACGGGATATCAATATCTTCTCGGCAGCAGCAGGTAGTCTTCAGGGGAATACTGCTGGTCCTCTTTTGTCGTGCCTTTTGTTAATTTATCGACAATTCTCAAGATCTAAGGGGTTGGTTGTCTTTCGCCTTTCAAATATACTTCTGCCTGTTTCGTTGTTGGGCTCGTTTCCAGGCAAATCTTACGGCACACTGCCCCAAGACTTTATACCAATCTGTTTCGTAGATTTCCCAATGTTCGGGTTCTAACAATTCCCACCCACAAAATAATTTATGAATTTCTACTCGAGCCCCTTGGTCTCTTGTACTCATCAAAATATTACGGCATTTCATACAATAAGGTTGTCTTTTAAATGAAACACTAGACCATTCTTTGCCACAATTTAAGCATTGACAAACAGTCCAACCTAAATGTCCGGAAGTAGGGTGTTTTATGCAGGGTATACCATCGATGTCTTCTATTCTGGGTGTTTCAGGTATTTCTGTCTCTGTTTCACAACAGAAGGGAAAAAGAACTGAGGGGTTCCTATTAGTTTATATAGTCCAGTTCCCCTGGTCTGGTTAGGTATCCTTTCTTCCCTCCTCCAAGGTGCAAAATATACCTGTCGTAAAGTATCTCTAGGTGATATCTGGAACCATTGATATAAACTATCTCTTACCTCTCCTCTGGAGTGATTCATTCACTTGATTTGTTTTTACTTATTTTTATTCGGAAGTTTCCTGGTTCGGAAGTTACAGTCCATCTTTCTGGGGAGATAGGTCCTTTTAATTCTGCTGGCATGAGTCCATCCCTTTTCTGCTGTTCATACGGCTGTATCTGTGGTAAGTAAAACAACAAAGGGTCCTTCCCAGCGGGGTGTTAAAGAGGCTTCTTTCCAGGTTTTGATGAGCACCTGGTCTCCAGGCTGGATTCGGTGTATGGAAACGTCCAAGGGAGGTCTCTGTACTACTAAGCCCTTTTTCCTTAACTCCTGTCTTCTCTTCGTAAGTTCTAAAATGTATTCTGTTAAAATTTTATCCTTAAGCTTGGGATGTTCCACTAATAATCCAAAGTCGTATGGCATCCCGTACAACATTTCAAAGGGGGATATACCAGCATCTGTTCTTGGCTGAGTTCTAATGTAAAGCAAGGCTAACGGTAAACATTTAACCCAGTTCATTTTTGTTTCTACCATAAGTTTGGTTAGGTGTTTCTTTATTTCCCCATTCATTCTTTCTACTTTTCCAGAACTCTGTGGATGCCAAGGAGTATGGTATTCCCATTTTGTATCGAACAGTTTGGTTGTTTCTTTAATTATTTTGCATGTAAAGTGTGGGCCGCGGTCTGAGTAAATTACCGCAATGGTCCCATACCTTGGAATAATTTCTTCCAAGAGAATTTTAATGACTGTCTTTGCAGTAGCTCTTACCACAGGAAAGGCTTCTACAAAGTGCGTAAGGTGATCAACGAAGACTAATAAATACTGATATCTCCCAACCTTCGGCAATTCGGTAAAGTCTGCCTGTATTTTCTCAAAGGGTCTCTTAGCCAATTCACGACCTCTTTGAACTTTTTCCCTAAGTTGCCGTTTATTTACCTTGTGACAGGTTAAACATCCTTCTAAGATTCTTTTGGCCAGGCCCTATATTCTGACGCAAGCGTAATTTATCTGAAATTGATCCACT